AGCTGCCCGCATCACATAGGCGCCTATGAAATGAAATGTATTGTTATTATTATTACTGTGCTAGCCTACAAGGTACTTGCGGCTCCAGCCGGGTGTGTGCACTCGGAATGGCTACTGTTGCTCGGGATGCCAAGCTGTGGCCCTGCTGCAAAGTGTCATACAAACATCCTTCATTTTCAGTTCTCTGGTGTTTACCAGAGCTGCGAGTTCATCTCAGTACCCTGGGTCTAGCTGAGGTCAGATCATAGGTAATGCTATGAGAGGAAGCAAGCAGGGCCCAAATGCAGCACACGGGAGACTTTTTTCAAGTTGCAGAAAGTTCATTTGCAAAATCCAAACTAACAAAATTGCTTGGAACAAGTAACGCAGAAACAGGGGCACACGGGAACAAGACACGCAGGAACATTCGCCACAAAGAACATCGCACACTGATCCAATAAAGACAGTGAGGGAGAGAGGTGTATATACACAGGGCACCAGATGACACTAGTGAGACTAATGACAGAGACACAGCGGAGTGTGATGACACTGATTACTCCTTTAACACAGGAGGAACTGGGAGACAGACACACCTCACAGTACCATAATTACGCAGCAGTAAAATTGGAATTCATTTGCTCTTGTTGCACGCCCACTGCTACAGTTCTGATACCTGAAGGGACCTGCCCCCCACTTTTGGAACCACAGGAGTAGTGTATTGTGAATTTGGCTAAAATTGCCCTTTTATTGGTTATTAAATAAAAGGAACTTTGGAGGCAATGGTTTACTTTAAATCTGACTACTTTATCAGGTCAGATTAATTAATGCATATCCAGATGTGTTTGTTTTTCTGTTTCATTTTGAAAACACTGGAATATTCTGCTTCCATCTGGCTGTCTGTGATCCCACTCTGGCTGTAATCCCCCTCCCTCCTGTCTGTGTACGACTGGCTCAGTGCGGTTGTTCTGGTAGAACTAGTGTTGATAAACTAGCTTCACCTCGCCAAGTGCCTCCTGAAGTGTTTTCCTCACCACAGACAGACCTCCCTAAAAGAGAAGAGATTGCCCTTGAAATGTTCTCTCCAGTTCATTGCATCCCACCACTGGTGCCATTTTTTCCCCCTCACTGAATCGCTATTTGTGGATGGTCTTTTTTGTTGTTGTTGTTGTTGAGAGATGCACTTCAGAACGGCTGAAAAAGAATCTTATTCATATCTAATTTGATGTTTTCAGAATAGATTCAACCTCACATTTTGTTGTGTCGGAGGTGGAATCAAAAGTAGATTTCTTACATCCTCTGGAGCCACCTACACCACTGTACCGTCGGAACGTCTTTTTATCATGCCGACGTTTCCCTGCACTCGGAATTGCAAATTTGCTCAAGGTCAGGCGGTTTGAATAGAATTGAAGGTGAAAACCAATTTTCTGACTATTATTATGTTCCCACTCTTTGGAATTCAAATATTGTCTTATGATGTTCCACTTCACAGACCCTTCAGTGGTGATTTCAGAGCTCGGCTGAGAGCTTTGAATCCTTAACAGTATGGGTTGTGTGATACGTCTTTGTTCATTTTGTCTTGTCCCCTCACATCATCTACAAAAAAGCAAAACGCATGTTTAACCAGCTGATGTCCAGTTAGAACCAGTCACGGTCCAAACCAGCCAATTCCAATCACTTAGCAATCAACCAGTGTCCCTATAATTTTTAGACTCTCTTTTGGTTTTCACACAGAAATTAGACAATAAGTAATCAACATTTGATGTTTTTGGGAAGATTGAAAATTTGCACACCCAAAATAAGTGATTCATGTACAGAAAATATATTTCAAAAATATGAAAATAATACTCAGGTACAGCCACAGTAAAACAAGTTTTTGTTGCATTACATGTTATCCATATAAATGCAATATTTAACTTTTAGAGAATTGTCAGCTAAAGTCTTAGTATTGCATATTTTATTGAATGTTACCCAGAGAACCTTTGAGTTTCAAAGATTTATAGTGTTTCATCTTTGTAAACAAGCTAACAACAAACATTTTTCTTTGTAGAAGTAGCAGCAAGACATCATGTGTGTTGTTGTTTGGATGAATGTGATGATCAGTGGGTTACGACAGCTCCAGTGACCTCGACCATAACAGAATTCACATATACTGGAGTGACACACATTTTCAAAAGGGAGGCTTGTTTTGAAGCCTTGCAGCAGAAGACATAAAAGAATCAACATAACGGTTTGTTTCGCATGTGAGCATATGGTAGAGTAAGCCTGAGGGCACAATGACGTGACTGAAACTGATTCACCAGCCTTTGTGAATGAAACATTTCTATTAGAAACCAAGAGAATTCAACTCCATCCTACTTATATCCCTACAGATAAGGTTCCATGTGTGCTCATTAAGTATGAGAAGTTGGTTGAACAGAGATGACTTTGCGGCACCAGATGACAACACACACACACACACACACATATATATATATATATATCATTTTGCTAGATGATGTGGAAAAAGCATAGAATGCCTAGTAGCCTGCATGAACAGCAACAACAGCAGCAGCAACAACATATACAGCTAAACACAACCCACACCAAACCCCTGACAAATAACCAGCAACTGCTGGAATCCAGCCTTTTATTCAGAGACCATTGGCGAGAGAACCAATCAGCTTAGAGCACACACCTGAACCACTTTGCCAATCAGCCATGCACACCTGCATCACATTACACATGCACAGACACAGAGGCAAATGGGGAAACACACCATCTCCTATAGTCAACTAAGGAATTCTCATTGAAAGTAAAACCGTACTAATAGTAATACAATACTAGTACAATTTTCCTGAAAAAGCACATGTTTAAAAAAAATTAAAAATAATTTGCTTTGCTGATATAGAGCTCCGTGCCTCCAAAAAACAATGTCACAAAAGATTTGTTAATCTCTACAAAATCCTGAAAATAGATGTCTGGTGGCCAATTATTACATATGTACTGTACCAAAGCAAGAAGCAGCCACGACAGAACCAGGAGATACTGTAGTCACATTCAAACAAGTTGTCATATAATTCATTGCATGAAATACAAAAGGTAAACAAAAAAAACCTGCATGGAGTGGTAGGTTGTATCTGCCTATTTATTTATAGTACCGTCGCAGTACTTAACTGTCCGTCCACTTACCTGCATCTTTTAAATGTGTGGGTTTTATGTCGTTGGGGCGCCTGGGCGGACGTGACTTGCGTAAACATGATGAAAATTGTAGATTCAAGGCCGATATTACACAGCACTAGAAAATTCAGACAATCATGTCACATTGTTGATGAATTGCAGAGGCAATCAGAATTACAAAGGCTGTGTAAACAGTTGTCTGATCAGCCTCTACCCACTGCAGCAATCACAGCCCGAGACACAGACATTGTTGTCATTTCTGGCCACAGAGCTGCCACTTCAGCCTAGGCAAACAAGCCAAAAATCATGTTTGTTTGTATCTTTCATTATTCATGAGGTATTATTTTTCATACGTGTCATTCATTTGTGTAAGTTATTTATACCTGTGTGATTACATTTGGAGTTGAACTCTTAACCAGAACCAGTCTAAGAATGGAACCGTGCTGACAAGAGAGTGACGATCTGGTAGCAGCCACATTAAGCCCCACCCATTCATAGCCACCCATGTACAATCTATGTCAGCGAGTGGGCTTTTGTGCTGGCGTAATTACTTAATCTGAGCTCCTGTGGCGATTTAGTTTGTGTGCAGCAGGCGGGCGGCTTTCACACAATCTTGTAAAAAGCCGAACCACGAGCAGCTTTGATTTCGCTGTCTTAAAGAAAGTAATGTACTAATGGCTGGTGTCACATGTGATTCCTATCTGTCCCCCATGTTCTGGGACAAACTTTGTCCCATTCCTCCCCAATCTTCCTGACTTGTCTAAAGTGTTTCACCGAAATCGTAGTGGAGAGTCCACAGCGCATTTAAGAGTGTGCAGCACACTTTTTCTCTTTTTGTTTGTTATTTATAATGTTCCTGGGCAACACTTAACTAGAACTGAGGCCCATCAAGGCGGGCCGATAAGGAGCGAGGGATCCGCTTTAGTCAATTACCGCAAAGTGCCGAGTTCAACTCAGTGGGCCTTTTATGAGGCACAGCAGCTGGGTAAACAAATTAATCGTATATCCACGGTTCCCAACACAAGCATACGGCCCAAGGCAATCGTACATCAGGCAGAGTGATAGCTGCTGTCTTCGCCAAGAAATAGAGGGGTCCTGATATTAAAGATGGCCAACAACGTGGGATTCATAAGGCATCATTCATCGCACTTGGACTGCCTCTCAGCTGTGCTCTTCTCTCTGTGTTGTCCATTCTGTTTCATCTTAACACAGACTCCCCCCCAAAAAAGAGAGAATGTCTTTGCGAATCTGTCCTTTCCAAAATTGTCCTTGATGTATTATGAATGACTTGAACGGCAGAAAATGGTGGACCCGCTGTCCAAATAAGGAAATTATTGAATAATTATCGAGGGATAACTATAATAATAATAATGCAAGATTGAAGTAAAGTATGTTTGGTTAGGCTCTCGTTTCCTACATGACCTTGAAGATGTGTGTTACACCATATTCTCTGTTGTCTGGTGAATAGACCAGACGGCACTACAGTCAATACAATCGATACAATCATTTTGTGCACAGTAAAGGAAGAGAGGTATCTGGAGACGGTGTGTGTGTCTGCACTCTGTGGCCAAGAGTGTGAAGTCCTGTGTGCTGCATAGCCTTTCAAATAAATAGACACATTTGGTGGTAACTTGTACGATAACAATTTGTTAATGATATTCAGAAACACAGGTCGGGAAAATTACAATAAATTTCATGTTTTTTACTTTTGAAAAATGCTCGATGCGGGATCGACATGACTGTTTTTCTGGTTATTCAGGAACCTGTATTTGATATTGCTGTGTTTTCCTCAGAATTTAGTTCTCTTTTTTTGGCTTCAGGGGAACTGTGTCTGTAACAGGGTTGCTATCATTCTCTGTTGTCAGATTTTCCGGAGGTGTTGGCTGGTTTTCAAGAAAGCCTCCAGCAAAGGACCTCGTCGGTTAGAGAAGTACCCCGATGAGAAGGCAGCCTACTTCAGGAGCCTCCACAAGGTAAACAGACATGACTCACCCTTACATAACTATGAAAATCATTCACCTCGTATAAAGACGATTCATTTGGATTCGTTTCCCATCAGGACAGTTCATTGATTACCATGTTTTTTGTGGCAATCTGTGCATGTTATTTTCTTTATCCACATTTTTAACACTAACTAAATGGCTCTTATGCTGCCGTGATGAGTCAAGATGATGCAGCATGTATTATTTACATTGTCATTATATTAGAACTCAATATCTCCTGGGTTTGTCTCGTAAAGAAACACTTCAACCTTCCTCTCCTCTCGTGAAACTCCGTCTCAGGTCTCTGATGATAATTTCCTATTAAATGTCCCGCACATATTCATTACCGTTACTTAATGTGAAATGAAAAATGTTCCCGTACTGTTGTGACATGATCCTGAAGAAAGTATATTACATTAAAATGCAGTACTTGTTACAAGAATCAGGGTGCATTAACACCTAATATTCTGCTTCGCTGGTGCACACCTGATACAAGTTGGTCCCACCTTTTCATTTTTCATCTGGTTCAGTTCACATTTAAATTTAAAGGCAAAACCTGAATTGACTCTTTATATTATGAACAAAAGTCATGTGCATAGAAATACTGTTCATTATGATCTCGGCAGTTGGGGGTTATAAATTGAAAACAGCAGAGATGATTTTTCTCAGGGTAAATCAGCAAGTCAGATTAGCTTCTTCTTTCTGTCCTTCCCCCTGACGGACAGTAACTAAGGAGGGTTTTTTTAATCCGGTGGTTGTTACCATTCATGGGGGACCATAATGCTGATGTGTCCCTGGGTTAAAATTAGTCTGAGAATCCTGCTCAAGAAATGATGGTACCTTTTTTTATTGTACCTCGACACGAGAGTAAAGTATAAGTCCTCCTCTTTTCTTAAGGTAGTCTTAAAATAATAATTGGTAATAAAGTCTTTGATTCTACTACTATTTCACTCACTATTACAGTTACAATAGTGAGGACCATAGAGCGAATAAAACTAGATGATAACGGGAGATCCGGACGACAGGTGTATTAAGGGAAAGCTAATTTGATACCTGATAAAACACATTCTACTACAGCTAATGAAAAAGTTCTCAATTTCCCTGAGCAGTTGAGTTCATGCTTTTTGACCTCAGAGATCGGAGCGATAGATGTTTTAACTTCTAATCCACTTTATTGGTATCCCCTGCTGCTGCACTGTACCAGACATGAATTGTGAATGAAGTATCCCCCTGCAGGGGCTATCCCGTGTGGCTCTGGCCCCCTCTCCCAGGGGCATCTTACACCCAGGACTGGAGTGAGCAATGAGTGCACACATGCATCAGTGCATTTGGTAATACGTTGCCACAAGATCAAGAAAGGTTTTGTCTGAGGGCTTCATTCACGCTGCACTGCTTTGGGATGAAATAGGCTGAACTGGTGTACGGTTCAAAGGAGTAAAGAGCCTCAATTAAATAATACTAGTTAATAAGTTAATGTGTGACTGTTATTCTTTGACATTGGTTGTAAATGTCGTAGTAACTGGGTAGTGTGTAAACATCATTTCCTCTAACTAAAAATTCTAATCCTGCTTTATATCTGCTGTTAACAGCAATTATGTTTCGTCACTGACTAGTTAGCTTTAGCAAGTGTTTGTAGGTTCATTTTTGTAGGTTAATATAAGCCTATTTAAAGATGATGTTACGTTTTACCTCTACATTATTTATACAATGCAGATTAACGTAAATAATTTAAAAAAATATTTATTTTTATATTCAATTTGTTTATTCTTTCCGTGTAACCGACTCATGGCCTGGTTTTGGTCCCCTACCCGGTGGTTGGAGCTTCCTAGGCTAAGGCTAAGGTGTTTTGTTCATTCAATGTAAATTGTGTTGTAGTGTGTGTTTAGTTCATCCTAGCATGTTGAGGTTTGAACATTTCTTTGGTTTCTGTGTAGCACAAATGTCTACCGTCGTATTTGATTTTTCAGTTTTGCCGTATTTTTCAATTTGCAGCAATGAAAGCCAGTTCAGCCACAAAGTCAATCTTCAGTAAAACAAACCTCTTTATATTGTGTTAACAGCCATTATTTATACTCACACTCACAAAGTGGAAAACATTCTTGTCATCACAGAGGCCTTTGTTACACTGTTCACAGAGGTGCTTTAAAATGTGGCATTAACAAAGAAGGAAAGTGAGACTGTTTTGTGTAATATGAGAGAAGAAAAGGGAAGAAAAATATATCACTGGTGTTTACACACAAATGCAGTAGGCTGGAAACACACACACATAAACAATACAAAGGGACTAAGAAACACAGCTGAACAACTCCTACATTTGATGCTTACTTTGTGTCAGTTGTGACAGTTATATGAATGAATAGCTCGCCTGAGGACGAATAAATACTTTATCTCTCATGAGAGAAAAGAAACACCTCATATCATATAAATATTTAAGTACGATCTTTGAGGGGAATAATAAACAACAGATGAAAAAAACATCTTAAATCCCTCCATATTCAAAGCTTCCTCTCTCTTTATGCCTCTGTTTTGCGACATTGTTTTGCCGGTGAATATATTTGACTAAATTGTGAATGCGGAGCAGCCAATAAGGAGAAAAACTCCTGACATTATATGGGATGGAGACCTGCTATCCACATATGTTGCGGTCGTTATTAGGGCTTGTCTTTTAACCTTTAACAGTCAGGCTTTACAGTACGGGCACTGAGCCCAGCTAATTCATTCCCAACGGGCTGGCAAAGGGCCTGGGGTTTGTACACAACGGACCACAATAATGTAATGGGCCTTATCTCTCAGGCAGAGGGAGCAGAGAGGATTCTGTTGGGGGAAAAACGGTCTGTAAATGCAGGCGATATTCAATTAAACACAATCTTCTTTCTTTCCATTCACGATCAATCTGCTGGTAAAGCCATTCAGATGCTTTTGATTGCACATCTCCCTATTGACCGCAGAGCAGTTTTCAAGAAGTTACTCTCACAACAGTGGACACACAGTGGGAGTGGAATCAGAGTGAGGTCACATGCATTTATAAAGGGCTTTAAAATTTATAGTAAATGTAACAGAATACACTGAAGCGGGACCAGGCTGCAGGAAAGTGAGGACACGCTGCACACAATCTGGTGCATGTTGAAAGGTCCATTTATATGGTCGTTTTCTTTACGATGTTTAATGTTTTATATGTACAATTACGGTGTTTACAATTGAACCACAAAGGTTAGGTCAGGTAGAACAGAAGTCCATGGAATCAACAGAAAATAGAAGGTGAATCACAGAAGCAGCAGAGACCGTTTGGACGAGGAGTAGGTGGTGCAGACAAAATAACGACTGCAGAAAAACTAAAAAGAGTGAGTAGGAGGCAAAGACCAGCAGGACCAGCAGGGCCACTGACCACAGGACAGGGTTGGACCAAGGTTGATAAAGCGTTCTTAAAGTTAGTATCAGAGACTTCCAACCGTTTGTCACCAGGTTTCAAGGCCAAAGATTAAAAATAAGCTGTGAATACTGAACCTCTGACTTCACTTACAAGTTCTCATTTACAGTACCCCAGACTGTTTCCTTCATGTAACTTTCTCCTCTCCCTCCTTCCCCCTGTAGATCACTGAGCTCCACAACATCAAGAACGTCACCCGTATGCCCAGGGAGACAAAAAAACACGCTGTGGCCATTGTCTTCTGTGATGACACGTCCAAAACATTTTCCTGTGATTCAGGTACAGTATGGGACTCCATTATAAAGAGATGTGTGGTTCTAATTTATACCAGTAGGTGCTAGATAAGTTTAATGTGGTTGTTGGTCAAAGGCCAGGCAGGACTATGACTATGGACAAGAAAGAAACACGAAGAAAAGCGTTTTTTAGG